TAGGGTGTGTGTGTCTGCAAGATGGCTAGAGGCCAAGCCACAATCCTCTTCAGGTCCTATTCCTCTGTGTTGGAAAGAGTGCTATCATGTATGCTAAATCAGTCCAGAGGGAGGATTGCACGAGTGTGTGTGTGTGTGTGTACGCTGTCCGTCTTCACTTCGGATATTGGGAGTGTCTCTCAGAAACAAGTCAATCAGAGGGAGGATTGCACGAGTGTGTCTGTCTGTGTATCTGTGTGTGTGTGTGTGTGTCTGGGTGTGGGTCTGTGTGAGTGTGTGTCTGTGTATGTCTCTGTACGTCTGTGTGCCTGTGTGTCTGAGTCTGTGTGAGAGACTTCCTTGCGGCAAGCTCTGAGGGCATGACTTTGGGCACGCAGTGCGCCCCGCCCAGATCCTTCCACTCACCACTCACTCTTAGCGTGCATCCGAGAAGTCCACAGAAATCCACAGAAGCAGAGCAGTCCACCAAGAAGATCGGAGCCCTTCATCAAGAACCTTAGGCCGCGAAAGCTCTAAAGGCACGAGAAGGGGAAGCTCCCAGCGCCATCCGCAAAGTGACAGCCCCCATAGAACTCTCAGCCTCTGGCTGTGCCCACGCCAGCGCACGCTCCTGCAAAGCATTCCTTATCCCTTCGAGTTTCCCTTCGACTAGGCCCAGGCAGGCCAAGACATGCCAAGACACCGCTCCAAGCCGCGAGGTCAAAAAGAGATGAACACGCAACCTCAAAAGTTTGCCAAGATCATGGCATGGCCAAGTCCAGGAACTGCACGCGAGTCGGTGCAAATCTGGTATCTTTTATCTATCTTTCAAACGTACAGTGCCGGATGCCTAAAGGTCGACCTCGCGGTTGCTTAGCAACGCTTCTGATCTACAAAGCGGGCATTCTGTGCGCTCCTCTAGAGCAGTACCTGCCTGTTGAGAGCAGCCCCCAGGCAAGTCTCATATTCATGCAAACTCTTAAACGGATGAAAAGCCACTGTGTCCGGGTCAAGGCAGTTTCTCCAGCCTGGCTTGGGATGGCAGTGGTCCTCAATCAGGAGCTTCGGCACAAAAACTCGTGTCACATCAGCAAATCGTGACAAGCACTGATCCATCCAAATATCCTCACCCCACCACTTTGTGCAATGTCCATTGCATTTTTCCACGTAGTCGAAAGCCCAGAACTTCTCGCAATGCTCCAAGCACTCCTCGCCGCCGTCCAACTCCCTAGCACATCGAAGAGCATGGCGCCCAAGGCTTCGAAGCGCCCCCTGCGAGAAGACTTCCAAAGGGCCATGAAGTCCATCCTGGCAGTTGTTCAGATACTTCCCATTCTCTCCCATGCTCAGGCTCTGCAACGACAGGATCGGCACCAAGCGCTGAGGAATGAAGACCGTATCAGGATCTGCTTTGATGGTCCAATCACACTGTAGGTAGTCACCGTCCAGCAGGACCTGTCGCCACACTGCCATGAAGGCGCCCAGGTTCAGCACCGTGATGTAGGGGCCTCCCAACTCAGACAACAAGGTGCTGGAGACCTGACGAGAAACAAGACCGGGTGCCAGCTCAAGGCGCGCAGAGCTGTAGATGACATTCTGGTCGCATGCGAAAATGTTGGCACCGAAACGGTACTGCATCACAAGTAGCTCCTGTTCGTACGAGTACGGCAGAAAGACTGCGAAGCAAAAAGTTCTTGTTGTTGAGGTGTGCAGGGAAGGTGCCTCTGGAGGCGTCTGAGGCATGTCGAAATAGTCCATCTCTTCCGTTGGCCACCACATCCTTTCTTTCACCTTTTGGCGAGAGCAAGGCAGGCCTCCGACTACGTCGGGGTTCTTGGATGGTTGCACTTCTTCGAAAGGCTTGCTGAATGCCCTCCTGAAGCATCGCTCAGCCACTCCGGTACGGTTCCGCTGGGAACCCCAGGCAAATGCCACGCACGCAGTAGTTTCGGTGCATATCTTTTGACAAATGCTGGCCGACGCCACATTCTCAACAACTGGGAGGTCATGGCTTGTGACCATGTCCATGCCCACAGACTGCTTTGGACAATCATGTGAGATCTGCCATTTCAAGAGCTCCTCCATAGCAGCACTTTCCCTGACGAAGTCTGGGTGGTGAGAGTACTGGTAGTAGCGCTTGGACCCGAGTGAAGAGTTCGGATGTTGAACATGGAAAACCTTGGCCCACTTCTTCTTGGGTAGAACCTCGTCCCGAGAGCTAGGTGCCCAAGCGTCGAGCACCTTTGAAAGATCTGCAACATGTGCAGTGCCTGGTGTCTGCAAGCCCCGCAAGAGGACCACAGCAGCTATCAAGATGACCAAGCTGATGCAAGAAAACCACTTGCAGGTGGCTGAATGCCTGTCAGGGTTGTCCTGAACGGGCAGAAGTCCCTCCTCATCTTGTTCGCGCGGCATGGTGCCCCCGACTAAATGGGACTCGAATTAGATGGCTGCGCAATCAGTGGCAATGGAATGTCAGAACTCGACCCGGCTCAGAATGAAAGTGCTACTTCCGACCATGTGTCGAACAGCGGCACTCACGCAAGGCCGGATGCAAGCTTCTTGGCTCCGGGCGCCGCGCCATACAAGCTGACGGACTCCTTGTAAAGTGTTTCTATGAAGATAAAGAAGGTGAGCTTGGCATCGCTCTCTCGGGCAGGGACACTAAGAGTCCAAGTGAGGAGTCGCTTGCGAGCTCCGGGAGCTCCATGGGCACAAAGCACCGCGAGCGCATCAGCTCCTGCAACGTACGAAGAGTGCCCGCTTCTGCGTGATTAACCAGATTGGCGCCGGTCGACCAGGAGACACAGCGCATCCTGGCCTTCGTTGGTAGCCTCTTGGGCTTCCTTGCGTTCCGGGGCTTTGCTTTTGCTAACTTGACCACGACCTCTTGGCTTGAGATCTCTACTCTCGCCGCCTTTTGCTGAAGCTGGAATCATTGTCGCTAAATATCTTTACAACTTGCAGTCTTGCGTGTCCGTCTTTCCGGCTTTCGTCCAATTCAAGAAGCACGTCTCTTCTTGTAGGGCGATGCATGTGGGGATATCTTGAGAATAGGAGGCGTGGCCTGCATGACTACGATAGATGTTTTCTGGATGACAAGCGACAAGCAATTCGGGAACCAAATTCAGGAACTGTGCGATCGATTCAGAACCGGGATTCAGAAAAAAAACGGGATTCAGGAACTCGTGTCACGGACAGCGTTTCCCAATTCCGGAACCTTGAAACATAAATCCGGGAACCATGGGGCAAGAACTCCGGAACAGCTCCTGCGCATACCTTCACTCAGGTACTTTCAGTCGAAATTATTGGGCCTTTTTTTGCTTCGAGCACGCAGGACACAGTTGTCTGTTGCTCGTCAGCACTGACTGCTTTCAAAAGTTAGATTAAACTTCTAGGGATTATCGTTATGCATGCCGTGTGGAGCGGGGTCTGTGCATAAGAGTCTTCCATCTATCTCGATTCTGGCAATATGGCTGCGCCTTTCGATGCAGAGCAGTGTTCTCCATCCGTACCATAGAAGACGTTCCATGGGCGTTTGTGTCTGCGAGAGCGTAGGTATAGAAAAGATGAGCTATGGATATCCGAATGTGAGGGAGGAGCATCAGAAGCCATGAAATCGATCCTCTGTGCGGCCTCAAACAGGCATGATTCAGCCCAATGTGGGCGCGGTCTTCCAGCGCGATTCGGCGACACTACATGCCTGTAAGCATGTTGAGGCCGAGATGGCCTGTGGAACTCTGTAACTGAGATTCTTTCGATTTGAGGAACATGCATGGTAATGCTTGACCTTCTCTGACAGAGGGACTGGGCTGATGTCATGATTATGACCGAAACAAAAACGACAGTTGCAAGGACAGGAAAAGGAGGGTGAATAATAAATGCGCTGGTTTGAATGTAAACGGAGATGTTTACACTTATCCCGGTTGAGAATCAATCCGCGCTTGTGACCATGGTGCTGAATGAAATGAAAGAGGCGGTTTAATAATTGTATAGCTGAACGGGAGAGTAGGACTGTGTCGTCCGCATATTCCAGGTCCCATAGAGGAGAAGGGACGTGGAAGACTCCGGAGATCTTTCCATACTGTGCATGCCAACTTTGTTCCACGTCGAAAACGAGGTGAATCAAAACCAGGCCAAAAAGATATGGTGATAGGGGCCTTTAGTTTGGGTCTTTTGCGCTGATTTCTGGGACGAGTCTCTAACGATGACAGTAGGATTGGCGCACAACGCCAAATTAACCTTATGAGTATGCGGCGGATGTCGCGCACTTACATGTACGGCACCAAAATCGGATGTTCAATTCCATGGTCGCTTCTCTTAATAATACGTCGACAGTTGTAGTGCATGGTGACCAGCAACACAGCTCGTGATGGAAAGCCAAGACCGTTACTGAAGCAAGGTGTAGGATAGCAGCTACCCATGTAGCAACATCAAGCAATATGTAATCCCATAGTTCTCGAATGCACACATGATAGCTCCTTCCTGATTTTCCAGTCACAAACCTGCAGAGTTGATATTTGCCACGTTTGTATATTTGTCTGCATACTCCCTCGGTAGTTAAGTTAAGCACTGTTGACATAGCTTATCACGGATGCAGTTTACTGAATGAATCTGTGCTGATCATTTAACGGATAGATTGTATTTAGATGTTTGTTCTGTTTTCTGAGCTCATACATGGTTAAAATGCGTGCGATGCTCAATTATTGTTCAAGGTTGAGTTGTGTAACTATGTCTGTGAGCCATCTCAACCAATATAAAATGCTGCAATGTTTGGACTATGCCGAAATATAGTCGCATAGTATGTGCTCGTACATACAGCTGACAGAAGAATCTACTACTGCATGCTAAAAACTTGACAGTATTGACATACATTCAACAACATTTAATACCCGGTACATGCTCAGGCAGCCACTATGGCATGCACATGTACTCAACTCAAGATCGAGATCAATGGAATCTCTATGCTATTACAGAAAAATACAAACACTCTTAGTGCACGCCAAGCTGGGTTTTGGCGATAATTGGTTCGATATCCAAGTCATCTGCTGTGAATATCGCATGTATGTGCTTAGACTGTATGCAAATCCCGAATCTCGAGGCTATATACTCAGTTGGTTCGCATGTTTTCGTACTTATCGCTCCCTAATCAACATCCCCCGACATGTATGAACTGTTGCATCTTGAACCATTTGTGCATAAGTGAAAATGTATGCAAATGGTATGACTGCAATCAATACTGTTTAGTTTGATCTGGACTCAATGAATATTGGTGAAACAGCAAGTGGGATCTAGTTCATGCTACGTGAAAACTATTTGACGGGTACTCAACTTCTACACGTACGAAACACGCCATACTGTAAAAATTGACTTGCTGAGAATACATAGTGACATTATACCAGAACATCTGCGAAGTATTATGCAAATGCATTGACGGGGCACTGATGGAAAAAAGATTGTACACTGGTCAGGCATCAACTGAGATGTTTACCTACGTAGGTGCTGATAGTATATCGTCTATAGAATGCTGTTTTGATTGAAAACTCTAGTGGGATGCAAATGGGTAAACATTACATATAGAAGCTTCATATGTATATGTAGATCATATATATATATATATGAGTGAATCACCTGTTTCTCCTTCAATATCTACTGGCCGGTTGATCTAAAAGAAGCACTTTAAAAAAACGCGGGCTTGTTTCGAGTATTACATAATAGCAAGCAAATAACACCTGCATACAAACCTGGACATTTTGGGTGTTTAAAACCTTACGCTGCATTGTCTGAGCTTCCTAAGCATTGGAAACCATCTTCGTGCCTCTCCCAAAGTTTTTCTTCAATAGCATTTTGAAGAAAGGTTGGCGTAAAACCTGAAGACAACGGACATCCTGGCAATAGACACCCAAAACAAAAAAGCTAATACAAACAAAGGAAACACACAAAACAACAGCCCTATACTGTACTCGATATAGGTTGGTGCTTTTGATTGTTGGTTTGTTGTTTTGGTTGGGCTTTCTTGGTGCTGTTTGATTTCTATAGTGTGTGTGGTTTCTTTGGTTATGTTGGTTTTGCTTGGTGTTGTGGCCATGCTCTGCACTCCTCCTTGGCATTCTGGGCTGTTGTTCTTGTGGAGATCAGGAGATTCTATTCTAAAACTCGGGCCTTGTTTTAGGAGGCGTGTTCATTAAAAAAACCTGGTGGCACTCTGTATGTCTATAGTATCTATCTGCCTACATATATATATATATACACACACACCATATATTCGGAATCTCGAACCGAGTTTGTGTGCGGCTTGCTGCTGCATCAGAAGCATGTCGTTAAGTGATGTGCTGATTGCAGCTGCTGCATGAAGCACTTTGTTCGAAATATGTCCAAAAACGCCTTCTTGCTCCTGAAAGGCACTATTATGCTACTAGCATAACGTGGTTGCTGAGCGTCAGAAGCCTGGGCCGCATCCAGTACTGCAGGTAACAGCCGCCCTTGCAGCGAAAACTCTGATGAAGTGGGGTTTCTCAAACACAGAGTGCAGTGCTCGCCTTGCCCGCGAACCTGAGCTGCACCACCGGACTACGAAGCTAGACAAGCACAACAACAAGGCAATGGGGAACTTCTACGGGCTGCATCACTTGAAGTTTGGTCCATTCAATGTTGGAAGTCCGACTACCAGAGACGTTGGGGCTCAGTGTTGCACTGCTTGCAGAGGTGGTGCTTCCCACGCAATTTTCTTGCTGGCCAACAGCGGAAGTGCCACCTGGAGCACAAAAGACTACAGACTGATACTTTCACAGTGCGTTCGGGCTCCGGACCTTAGCTAACAGCCTGGGCCGACTGAAAGGGAAGGCACAGCTTCTCTGCAACTTCTCAGAAATACGGACGCAGCCTGTCGTAAGCGTGACACTGCCTAGGCAGCACGTCTGACATCAAGGAAAGCGACTCTGTCAGAGTTAGTCGTTAAATGCTGCACATCGCCATCTTGTTTGTTCCAGGAGGAGACACGGACCCTTCGCCTGCTTTGTGCACATGCGTTGCTCCCAAGAAAATGGCGGGAGTTGCACCAATGAAACAAAAGAAAGGAAACTGTGAAGATGGTAACGCTCGTAGAGGCTCTTCTCATCTTAGGAAGCGGTCTCAAGTTCCAACAGTTCCGGCCCATCCGTGGTTGATTGCCTTCCGACAGTTCGGCTCACCTCGACCAGCCTTCATCTACAGCATATACAAGCAGTGGCCATGTCGAACTCTGAAGTTTGATGAATCACGACTGTAGCAGCCTGTTTCTGGCAAGCAGATTTTATCAGAAGATCTCCCGGTATGATGGCCATCAAGTCGAAAGAGTCCATGCATGTCTTGCACGGCATGTGTCTGTAGATTTCTTGCTCGACTTTCCATCCGACGCTTGCAAACCACAACACATTCGAAGATGACAAGCACAATATCCACTCTGCCGGGTCGGCACGATACCAGGTGACACTGCAGAGACTGTAGCTCTGCAGCAGGCTGTGCTCAAAGCTGGGATACACCACAAACTCAATCTCAGGTTGGATGATAGAGTGCAAAGTCTTTGCATGCGCACGGAGAAACGAAGTTTAAAAGCAAACACCACCCCAGCACAGATTTGGAGATTCAGCGAGAGGATCCACTACCAAGAAACATGAATTTACTGTATTCGCTTTTGCATGGGGCACTGTACCCTGTATGCTGCAGGTTAGGACACCGCACCCAGTTTCGGGCCACGTCTCTTCCTGTCGGGATTCCCGAAGCTCTGCACTTCTATCGGACAAAAGAATCAAGAGCTGTCCTGAACTTGGTCAGAACCTGCATGCACCCAGTGCCGTGCCATTGAACGCGTGACGAGATTCTGCAACTTGGGGGAGAACTGCCAGCAGCCCACTTCTCCAAGCTGCCAGCAGCCCACTTCTCCAAGCTAATTGCCACGACCTCGTCAGAATCAACACACAAAAGGTATTTTGGCATTGACTTCTGTCAGGGAATCGGGTTTGCCAAAATTACCACTGATGATTGAAGTTGTTGGGATGTCGTAATGTTCTCCGTCATGCCCTTTAAGATTGGACTGCCATTGTTTGCAGGTGCTTCTAGGCCTGGCTGTTTGTAGCATGTTCGATCAGTGGCCAAAAAAAATTCTAGGAACAACTCTCAATGCTTGGGAAAGCGATGTCATGCGGCTGTCTAACATTGAGATGTCTATCGCTCTCTCTCTTGCTTGATTGCTTGCTACCGCTCTGGCTCTGGAGGAACTTACCCTTGGGCAAGCCCTCTTTCTTTCTTTCTTTCTTAGGGGTCCGCTGGGGACCCTGAGGCCTTTGGCCCGCCCGACCACCCGATGTTTTATTGAGTGGCCGGTTGAGGGATCCCAATGACCGGGGCAACAGCAGACAACGTTCGTCTCAGATGGTAATACTGCAAGCCCCCAACCCTGAACCTAGTACCCCCAGGCCTATCTCCGCGCCTGTGGCTTCTTTACAAGTCCAGATGATCAGGGAGATGGTTCGCAACTGGAGGCTTGAAGAAAGCAGCTTAAGGGTCATCCCAAGCCAAAATACCATAAGCACACATTCCAAACCGATATTTAAGAGGGTGACCTTCATAGCTGCAGGAACGCAGCAGGGAAACACTTTGAATCGTTCGGCTCTCTTTGCTTTGGATATTCTCTGCCTGTTCGGAGATGTAAATCAATGAAAGCCCTAAGGAAAGCCCTAAAGAGGTAGCATATGTCAATCAGTCCTTTCATGTACACAACACCCGACTTTACAAAGCAGTCGTGTTCGGGGAGTGCATTGGATTGAAAGCCTATCGTGTCATAAGGATGAGCGGCCAGATACATCCCCGGCGGTCTGCAAAGTGAAAGTGGCTCCCCCCTGCACTAGTTCACTAGTTGACAGTGTGCAGAGACTGTGGCCCACTGAGGAGTCAGTGATCGTATTGCTTTCGGCACTTTGGTCGTCATCGCTGTTCATGTTCTCAGTGGGACTGCAGCGATCGGTCCCAGGTGCATTCCCCAGTCCATGGTGTCTATCATGTAGCCACCATCTCTTTCTTTCGCCAGGGCTCGGGGC